GTTCTAATCTATTTCTCTGTGTGTTCTTCAACAACCCAACAAGGATTCATTGTTCAAGTAAGGTCTAAACTTTTCTTTGCTTATGTGATTTTGCTCTTTTTTCATCAAAAAATAATTCGTTGATGAGTAATTCAATTGTCATTGTGTTTCAATTACAGTCATAATCAGACAAATGTCGAAGCTTTAGATGCAGCAACTCAACAAAGAGATGAGAGATCGATGTCTGTAGAAGGTTATGCTCAAGCCAAGTTCTATAAACTTTAATCGGGTACGTGAATCTTGGACTCGTGGTTCAGTATTTCCTTTGGCTCTTTTTGATTTTGGTTTAAGTTGTAGCAAAAGAAACATGAGTAGATTTTTTTGTCTTGAAAATAGGTGTGATTCTCTGTTTTTTTTTCCTTCTTGTTTTGTAGATGTGAGTGTAGCAAATCTCCATTGGTACAAAGCTTCAACAACACAAAGTCTATCACAATTATGAACAATTTTTAATCTTTTCATGCTTTAACAAAAGTTTTCAAATTTTTTCTCAAACAAAAAAAAAACATAAGTTTTCTAATTTCTTTTTGGGTTGAAAAAGTTTTCAAAGTTTCAATTTTTATTTTTTTTGTTTAAAAGTTTTGTTTTCACTGATTTTTTTTTTAATTAGAAAAAAGTTGAATGTTACTTTTATATAATTGTGAAGAACATTCGGAGTTGGTAACTTGTCATAGACCGATGTCTTTGATCATCAACGGGGCCAAATTCGTCTTGTGAACACAACATAATGTGAATTTAGCATTCGATTTTTGGATAATTATTTGTTTTCATCAAATATTTTAAAATTTTGGATTTTAATTAGAAAAAAGTTGGATGCTAATTTTATATAATTGTGAAAACCATTCGAAGGTGATGTCTTGTCTTTGACAGATGTCTTTGATCGTTAGCGGTGCCAAATTCGTTTTGTCAACACAACATAATGTAGATTTTAGCATTCAATTTTGGATAATTATTTGTTTTCATTTTCAAATTTTTTTTTCGAATTTGATTTGTTTTTTTTGTTTTTCACTAAAATTTTCAATTCATTTAACAACAATTTTTTTGTTTTACCGATATAAGTTTTTAAATCTTGCTTCTTTTTTTTATAATTGTTGGAAATGTAATAAATTTGATTTGTTTTCGAAATATGATGTAAATTTTAGCATTTGTTACTTTGTTTTTCTTTCACTAGTTATGTATATTGTTTTAAATTGTCTCAAGTTAAGACTACGACTAAACTATTGATGTGAGCTTTGAGATCATCATCATGTGGCATGCATTATATCTATCTATTCTTTTAATACTTGTCGATGTATAACAATTTGAGAAACTCACTCAACGTTGTCGTTTTCAATTGTTTTTGGCTGCAAATAATTCTCTTCAATGGAAAGAGAAATACCAAAAATCCTTTCTATTAGATTTCTCAAGGAACCATGGAGAATATTGTTGAATAATTATTCTTGAATATGCAGGATTATTACATTCACCTTTAATATTCTTAGATATGGAATTGAGAGTGCCTCGTTATGGAAATTGTTTGTGAATTTCGCAGATAACATAAATCAAATTTATAAAAGAAGCTAAAAAATTAAAACGAACACTTTTTTCTTAACGATAACCACTCCCGGTTCCGGTTCGATAAAAACCAACCGAACAAAACCGAAACTAATTCCCTTCTCCGCCTTATCTCCTC